CATGGGTACGGGGTCAGGGTGTGCCGGGAACCGGGGTCTGGGGCTCCCTGGGTCATTTTGGTCCCTTTAGCTTCAGTCCTTCCTGGGACAAGGAGATCCAGAATATGGATATGGGGTCACACGGTGTGTCAGGAACCAGGCCGGCTCTGGGGCTCCCTGGCACCTGTGGGGCCACTTTGGTTTCCATTGCTTCAGTCCCTCCTGGGACCCTGTTTATCCCATTTTCCCTCTGGGACTCTGTTTGTCCCCTTTTCTCTCTGGGACTCTATTTATCGCATTTTCCTCCATCCCATTCTCTTCTTGGGACCCCCATTTACCCTCTTTTCCTCTATCCCATTCTCCTTATGGGACCCCATTTACCCCATTCTCCTCCTGGAACCCCTTTACCCCATTTTCCTCCTGGGACCCCATTTATCCCAATCTGGGACCCTTTTTTTGGGATGAGGCCRTCAGGCACACGGTGAAACCTCCCAGGGTGGTTCTGTAGCCCCCAGACCATGCTGGGTTGGGCACTTTGGGGTGGGGATGTGGGGATTGGGGATGTGAGAATTGTCCAGGGTGGGGATTTGGGGATTCTCCGGGCTGGGGATGTAGGAATTCCAGGTGTTTCCCGGGATTCCCGCTGAATTCCGTGCCCYGTTCCCCACAGATGATAACATTGACGAGACCTACGGGGTGAACGTACAGTTTGAGTCCGATGAGGAGGTGAGACCCAGGCTCGGCCCTGCCCCAGCTCATCCCCATTCCCTGTCTTTATCCCAGTTCCCTTTATCCCCTTTCCCTCTGGGACCCCATCGATCCCATTTCCCTTTGTTTATCACATTTCTCTCATGGGACCATATTGATCTTGTTTACCTCATGGGATCCCATTTATCCCATTTTCTTTTATGCCATTTCCCTCATGGGACCACCTTTACCCTGTTTCCCCTTACCCCGTTTCCCCATATCCTGTTTCCCTTTATCCCGTTTCCTTTTATCCCAGTTCCTTTATCCCATTTTCTTCCATCCCATTTTCCTCCTGGAACCCCTTTGATCCCATTTTCCTTTATCCCATTTTTCTGCTGGGTCCCTGTTGTTTTTCCCCTTTCCCTCAATCCCATTCCCTCCCATTTTCCCCATTTATCCCATTTTCCCTTTATCCCATTTTCCCCGTTTCTCCCCTTACCCCAATCCTGTTCCTTCCCAGGTTTATCCCAAATTCCCCTCTGTCCATTCCCAGCCCGGGTGGGATTTTGGGATGATACCGATAAT